ATATTAACAAAATAATTTAAACTTTTTTAAACAAAATGTCTGAATTATACATTACACATATAGAATAGTCTTAAAGCATTAAAAAAAAAAAAAAAAAAAATATATATATATATATATATATATATATATATATATAAATATATATACATATAATTTGTAATCTGTCAGTATAACTTTCGGAAATTTAATCTTATATTTCATACGCGTACTATAACTTCTTTGATCTAAAATGTTTTGAACCTGTCTTAAGTCTGCAACAGCTCTTTGTTGATCTGTCTTTGTCAATGTAAAGTTCTTTTTAGTCATCATAAAATTTCTAGACTAAATTTATGTCTTCTAAATAGTTAGGATCTACTTTTAATTAGTTATATTTAATGTTTCCAAAAATCTACTTCATACTAGATAAGATCTAAAACTTGAAGCTAGTTCTTAGTTGTTATATCAGCTTTAGTACAACGTTCATAAGACAACATAGAACTAGCTAAGTCTTGTATATATATTTTATTACCAAGTTCTGCACTAAGCCTTAAAAAAGATTTTGAATATCATATTCTATAATATAGTTCAGTTACTTCAGATCTGTACATCTCACAGAAGTTCTAGCTTCACTTGAACTGACTTAAAGTCAACTTTTTCTATACTATGTCTTAACTTCTTGCTGGTATGATACACACACATACAGCCACACACACACACATCTTTTTATCAGTTCATATGTTCTCCTCCTTTACCCTCACACCACTCCCACGCACCCGCGCCTCTATTCCTACCCATATATATCACCTCATTAGTGCGCCACATTCTCAATTCTTCTGTGAAAGCACGGGCCACCGCAATTTGATTGTGGACCAGCGCAACTACATTGACTGATGGTTAGTGGTTCCGGTTCTAGGTTATCGCCGCTGACGACGCCGCCGTGCGAGAGATCGCCGCACATGACGCTCAGCCTGCAGGAGATACTGATTGTTGGCTCCGCCTGTGAGCAGGCCAAGTTCTCAGAGCTCACAATGGACATGTTTAGGTGAGTGCAGTCGAATCTCTATTGGGGAATTAGTAACTGATTTAATTTGGTTTTAGAATGCTGCAAACGCTGGAACGTGAGCCCACGGAATCGGCAACGAATCCGCTTAGCATGTCACACGGCCTGCATGGGCACGATGCGAGTCCGGCGGCCAGTCGCATACCACCATATGGAGTGCCCGGCTCCAAAGGCTACATGGAGAATGGCCGTCGGGACAGTCGAGACAATCCACATAAATATCTACTATACAAGCCATCGATTAGCCAGCTGCTGGTGTTCCTTGCCAGCGGCTTTAAGGAACTACCATTGGGCGGTGCCCTACTCCTGTACATGTCAGCGGACGGCTGTTTCTCCACCACCAAGCATCCCGAGGACTGTGAGTAGCAGCAAATATGCCTGAAGAGTCGCTCGACTAATCTAAGGATCTTTTATAGATGGCTATGAGCTGGGCGGCTTGGGCACAAGTGTGAAGCGTGATAGCGTCGATGGCGGTGGCTTGTCGTGTCGTGGGAAGTCCTACAAGGAGAACCATTGTCTCTATCCGGGCGATCTTTATCCGTTCACGCGTCGGCCCATGTTCATAATCATCGATTCGGATAATTCGTTTGTCTTTCAGCATATTCCCCGCTACTTTGGACAGCCGCTGGTTATTCTAATGTCGCCGCAAGATGTGCCGCCCGCTTTTCAAGGTAGGCCTAGACAAGGCGCCATTGACTTGAAGGGGTTTTGTAGTGTATAATTGATGAACTGGTGATAAGGCTAGGGTTACATAGACAGAGGTCTTGTTACTTATTTTAATAAGTAAAACTAGTCAGAATTATATACGCTTAGAAAAGTTATATTTAGTCTGATGAATGGATGTGAACGTAGCTTTGAACTCCAAGCAGAGAGTTCAGTACTTGCAGAGCTTCTTTCTAAAGCTGACTGTGAGTTCTGTATCCTGTCTTTAGTAAGACATTTGTCTTTAATAAGACTTCTTGTGTACCCCAGTCACTATATAGTCTCTACATATGTCTTCTGTCTGGAGAACTTGTCACGGCCTTCGCTCTTATTTTCCTTGTGCACCATACACCCTATACAAACTATAGCTCAAATGAATTACTTTACTTGCAGCTGATGTACAGCACCATGGTTCGTTGTTTACATTGTTCCTGCACTCCCCGCTCACAGCGCTCTGCTACATTTGTAATGTGGGAGATGTGCCCATTCATCATTGGGAACGCTGTCAGACCTATGTGGATCGTTTCATAACCGAAGCCTCGCGTCTGGTTACGCGCTGTCGCATCGATGAGATCGAACAGGGCATAGGCTTTATAGGTAAGTTAATATATAGTAAATATTGCAAATATGTGTATAATTCTATATTCTCTCCATAGACTCCTCGTATGTTCAGTTCTTTGGCGACGATTTTCTGCGCACACTCATTTTACGTTTCGTGTTCTGTGATGTGGTGCTGCGTTTGCATCGCGGCTTTCGCGGTAGGCATATGCGACCGCGCTGCGAACCACAGCTGCCGGCTAACGAACTGCTCGAGCATCCCTCGCTATCGCACATCATTTTCCAGCTGGCATCGGCGCTTGATGTGCGCAACCATTTCTCGGAGGGGCCCGAGTGCGACTGATGACTTTTTTTGGCCGTAGTCTTAGCTCTAGTCATAATGATAATTTTCTACATGATGCAGCAGCAGCAGCTGCAGCAACAGCTGCTGCAGCTATTCAATCTCTACTGCCTGAACCGACAGTTCTCGTTGTTCCATTATCTGTACAATATATATTCGCTGGCAGCGAGCTGGTCTGTTAGCTGAAACTAGCTGCAGAAGTTCTCCAATGTCAGGCTATTCAATTTTTATAACATACCAGATACGATATATCATATATATACATATATATGTATATATATATATATATTATACGCGAAATATATTATAATAATAATCAAGTAGCTAGTTTTCTTATATAGTGCGTCGCGCAATGGAATGGTCCAATGTTAGTTGCTTAGCATATACATTATAATAATATTAAAGAAATATAAAAAATATACAATAAATAATAAAACGCAGCAAGAAACAAAAACAAAAAGAAATGTAAACCTAACAAACGAAAACTGCCAAAGAGAAGTTGAAAATGGAATCAAACTTTGTTTGAACGAACACAGCAAACGATTCTTAAGTCAAGTAAATAAAACAGAAAAACAAACAACAATTTTCGTAAGCAGCATTAAACATTTAGCTTTTATACAACAAATTAGAGAGCAGAACAAAAACAAATAAATTACATTTAAATTGAAATCTATAAACACGACACACTATATAAGAGAAATGCGTTCTTTTTTTTACTGTACACGACGCTTAATATAAATAAATTATAAATGATATAAATAACGAATACAAATAATAATTATAAATGATATTGTACGTATGTAATATTGCATATAGGTATTATTATGATTACAAGATGACTGAAAGTTACTGTTTCAAAAAAAAAAAAGCAAAAAAGTTAGCAAAAATAATAAATACTTATACATATATGTATTATATATATATATATATATATATATATATATATATATATATACATATATGGTATATATTTAAGCTAAACACAAAATAATAAATAAATATATACAAGAAAATATATTTTGCGTATGTTACAGCGGAAAATTACAACCCAGCAAAAAGTAAAAGAAAAACATTTTATACAAAAATTATAGAAAACAAATCACATTTCATATGAGCAAGCCCTATATCATATCGCAGTGTTCCAAAGATTCAAAAATTCTTGGTTTTGAATAATGTTAACGAAAAATGCTCGATTCTATAACACAATATATATATATATATAATGTATACAATATTTCATATATGAAAAATAAAACTAAAAACAAATATTTGACAGAACCCAAAAAAGCTAATAAAAAAATATTTTTATAGTTTAATTAAAAATGTTCAAAATTTTATTGCAAACAAAATTTAAAAATCTAAATTTCTCTTTCTCTCTCTCTGTCTTATAAACAATAATAAAAAAATCAAGCGAGTCCTTATTTATTTCTCCCTTAAATAATACTCTTAACAAATTGTATAGACTTTTTAACAGAAAATTGTTTTCAACTTTTGTATATACATAAAACAAACATGTAATTAATTAATTTAGAAAAAGAAAAGAAATTATATGAAAAGTAAATATATTATAAAAAAATGCTCTTGAACCAAATGATAACAAGTATTGCTAGCGCATTATCATTTCCCTTAATATTAGATTTTGTACATTTGAAAATTGCATTTACATAAGCAACAAACGAAGAAAAACTGCAACAAACAAAAAAGCATTAAGAAAATAACAAAATAATATACAAATTAATTCATGATTAATCAGCAACATTAGCCACACGATAAGCGATACAAACGAATCCCACAAAGAATACATTCAAGCATTATCATAAGCGAATTGTTTAACATACACACACAATCACACACACTATCAAACCGTAAACAACAAAAGATAACAACAAATTTAGCAAAGCCACAAGAAAAAACAAAAAATATACAAAAAAAATATTATGAAAGTATGGAAAGTCTGGAGAGTGTATGGAGTTTGTATGAGTACTAAGAATAAAGCACATGTTTGAAAAAAAATTTATATTAAAATCGAATTTATTTAAGGGTGTCATTGGATAAGAACTCGAGCCTGTCGTTGTGGCGTGAGTAACAAACCTTTTAGCCAGACATTAAGGCTTAGTTATTCTTGCAGTACAAGTTATAGTGTTCGAGTTGGTATTGTTCCACCAGCAGATACACTGAACCATGCTAATAGCTGCTATTCTAATCATACCGCGCTTCTTTAAAGCATACACCACAAACAGCATATAGGTTCAGGGCTACAAATAGGATGAATTATAAATAGTTAAAAGAAATCAAATATGAATTTTTCTAAACTTCAGCAATCAGAAGAAAATCAATTCAGATATTGAACTGCAACTTTAATAGCCATACACAAATGTAATTAAAGTTAAGGCTACGTGAGTTTGCCCGTGTGCATCTCAATCCAATCCACAAACGAAGAAACGCGCGTAAAAATATCCGGTACACGTATATTGCACTCGGCATCGTAACCATGCGAGACGATACCCACTATAGTATCAGAGCCATCATCTAGAACCAGAGGACCGCCCGAATCACCGAAACAGGGCAACCCGCGTCTCGTATCAATGCACAGAAATGAATTGAGTATTAGTTTCCGTAGCCCATTCAAAGCAAGGGACCATAACTTTTCGCAGTGCTTATTCGAAATGATTCTGACGACTAAATATTTCAAGATATCGGTGGGTCCATGGTTGGTTTGACCCCAGCCGGAGACAATAGCTTTGCGGAAGTCATATGCATTTGGGTGCTTCCTCTTGGGCAGCTTAGCTGGCTGTATATAATCGTTTAGCTTTAAATCCTCTGGTAAGTGGATCAGAGCAATATCATTTTCTATAGTTTTATTATTGTACTCTGAATGCACAACGGTATCCTGCATTTTGACCAACATTTCCACACGGCCGAACTCATTTTCATCTGTTGCGTTCACGATGCCGGCGCTGACAATCACATTATCCCTGCAAATTGGATAGAATTAGTACTTCATAAATATTGGTATATTAAATACTCACAATACAAGGCTTGAATTTACAAGGCAATGGGCAGCAGTTAATATCCAGCGCTTGGAGATAATGGTGCCGCCACAATAGTACGTTTTATTATCATCCTTGAACGTGGCTTCTAGCAGCACTTGGTAGGGCAACAGCTTCGGCCAGGCCGGTTTACCATCGATAATACGCAGATGTCCTTGACCAAGGATTACGCCGAAACTTACCAGCAGGCACAGTAGATGGAGTAACTTACTCATTCTATATATTTTTTGTACTTGATACATTGAGTTGAAAATGCTTCTTATATAGTCTCCCATTTAACAACTTTGAGGCGTGCATTGCAGCTTATCTTACAGTTAGTTAATAACTTCTTAGCGTGCCATCTCTTTATTAGTTAAAAACAAAAACAAAATTAACTAATTTCCTAATGCCCTTTGTATATTGGGTACAAAAATACACTAATTGGGGTATATAAATACGGTGAAAGGAAGAGCTCGAAGGCTATTATATTCATCAATAATGGTATGTAGCTTTCTATAAAGTATTTATTTATATTGAATAGTTTACTTTTCAGATAGTTTTTAATAGTAGGCAGAAAAAATGGGTTGAGAAACTCCTTAAGTGAAAAAAATATATATAATTTGAGTATTGTAAATCATTAAGAATTGATTTGTTTTAACATTTAGAACTTGTTAATTTCTTAATGAATATAAATATATATATATTTCTACATACATCATATATAGTTTTTATTTATTGTTCAACGTAGTCTGCCAAACTTATAGATTACTTCGTGATGATATTTCTCCTCCGGTCGTAATATGCTAGAGGGGAAGTTTGCATGATTTACAGAATCAGGAAACTTTTGTGTTTCTAGACAAAAAGCGCCATGCTTAGCATAAGCTGCCCCTCCTTTCCCAGCGAGAGCACTTTCTCCTTTTGCTGTATTTGGCAAAAAGTTGGATGTATAGAACTGCACGCCCGGCTGATTGCTGGCTATTTCCAGCCAGCGACCGCTTGGAGGATGCATTATCCGAGCTACATTGGCAAAGCTATGCGGCGGCTCAAATCGTACGCAAAAGTTGTCATCGTAACCCAGAGCCGGCTGCAACTGCTCAAGACGTTCGCCCAAATTGCTAGCCAAGCGCAAGTCGAATTTGCCGCCATCCACTGGCAATATTTTGCCTGTTGGTATGGAATCACTGTCCGTTTCCGTTATACCATAGGCATTAATAGCTATGTTATGCTCATAAAGTCCTTTCTGCCCTGCATTATGGCCAGCTAAATTAAAGTAGGAATGATTGGTTAGATTCACAGGCGTCACTTTGTTGGTCAACGCATCCATTCTGACATGCAAGCAATTGTCTTCGGTTAGAGTAAAGCTAACTGTAGCCTGGACTTCGCCTGGATAGCCTTCATGGCCATCGGGATTGGTGTGGGTCATGCTGACTCCGTTGGGCAGTACCTCTAGCACTTCCCAATGTGCCTTATCGAATCCTATAAATCCGCCATGCAGCTGGAACGTGCCTCTATTACGGGAAACCTCAATTGTTTTGCCATCCAGTTGGAATTTTCCATTGGCTATGCGATTACAAACGCGTCCAACGGTCGCACCCATATATGGATTATTCTCGCCTTGATAGCCCGCCAGATCATCAAAGCCGAGCGTCACGTCCGCCACTTGACCTTGAGCATCGGGCACTTTAATGCTGCTGATTGTAGCGCCCAGTGTTAAGATCTGCACTGACATTTGCTCATCATTGGAGAGCGTAAAACGTCGAATGGGACTCGTTTGCTTGGTAAAGGGATTTACTGCTGCTGTGGCAAAAACATCTTCCGTCACGTGCACCATATTGACCAGACGTTGATTACGTTAATGAAGTCAATCGTAGAAGTGCAGCTACTTAAGTAGCGTTGGCTGCAACCACAAATAAATACACATGTATGCACAATGATTACATGGAATACCTTATCTAGACGATTCTCGCCACAAACGCGTTTCAAGTGTACGTATACATTTCATTTACTTGTATGTATAATACAATACTTCGTATCTTATTTATCTTTTCATAAACATTATTTTGCAATTTCGAATACCGCGTCTATACCTTCTATCGATATATTCGTTAAGTACTTTCGATATTTCACAGGTTCAGCTGTTGCGCACACTAATCGATTAATGTTAAACAACATTGAGCGCTGTTCTTGGTATATTAAGGTATATTCGTGAGGTACTTTCGATATTTGACAGCTCTACTTGTTGCGCACGCTAGTCGATTAATGTTAAGACGCAGCTGAGCGGTGTTTTGGAACGCTTCTTTGGCTAAGCAGTTGTAAAACATTAATGTTTATTATTAACGAAATAAATCATGATTGAACACATTTTATACGTACGTATATAGGTTTAATATTAACAACTTAAGTTTATTTGATGATCATTAACTTTGATAAGCACAGCTGTTGCTTTACTTAAAATACGACTTAACAGTGAAAGTAAGCCAAATGAACTACTCGAATGCTTAAGCAGTGATTAGTTCGTTCATTGGCCATCGCTCAGGTGAACCAATTCCGCAACTCTTTTTTGTTTATAAAAATCAAAAAATGGGATTGACGTGGCAGCGGTTGAGACTTAATTTGTTAATATTGGCAATTGCACTTATATCCTCTTGCCAATTAATTGCATTGACTAGCGCACAGGAAGCAACACAGTCATGGTATGAAAATTTGCCTGCTGTGGCAATGGATTATAAGGTAAATACAAAACAAATAAATGGAACAACACGGAAGTAAACAACAACAAATTTTGTATTGTCTTGTGTTTGTGTCTATCTAAATAAACAGGTGCACATAGACGCCGGCAAGGAGGATTGCTATCATCAGTATGTGCAAGCTGGTGCCACCTTCTATGTTTCTTTCAGTGTAAGTAAAAGGAGTCGTGGTTCATGGATTAGGACAGACTTTATTTCGATTTGTGTTTTTCTCTCTAGGTGGTTCGTGGAGGAGATGGTATGGCAGGCTTTGCCGTACGCAATCCGGCGGGCGAAATTGTAAAGCCCTACCAATGGCAAGCTACAGCTGATTATACAGATCAAGTCTCGCCAGGAGGATATTATTCCGTTTGCATTGATAATCAGTTTTCGCGCTTCGCTGGCAAATTGGTTAACATTTATATAACGGTTGTTAAATACGATGCTTGGGATAAATACGCAAAGGAAATTGAGGAGTTGCAGCTAAATATGCAGAATTTCACAACTACAATTGGCACTGTGGAGCGCAATATTAATGATATGTTGGGCTATCAGGCGCATAGCAGACATCGAGAGTCGAGGGACTATGCTTTGCTGCTCGATAATAATTCCTATATACAAACGTTCTCAATTAGTCAAATTGTTGTCATACTAATCACCTGCTCCATACAGGTGAGCGAGAGAGAGTGAAGATGCTTACTCTAAATATAGTTAATAATCATGATTCATTTGCAGGTCTTCTTCGTTCGCAAACTTTTTGATGTGAGGTCGGGCTCAAAGAGTCGTATATAGATGCTAATTGTGCACAAAACTGTAAAGAAAACTTTTATACTTTCCTCTATGTTTTATACGTACACCACACGCACACATACACACACACGCACGCACACTTCCTTCCATTGCAACATTCATTATCAATTTTATATGTATTTATTTTATTGTTGGCAAACAGAACAAGTGCAAAGCTGAACAGACTACTAACTACTACAACAACTATTTATCATATATACAACTTATGTGATAAATGCAAATGTGTGAGTTTTTTTAATAAAAAAGAAAATGAAAATTTTTTAAAAATAAAATTTCAAGTTTATAAATGTATTAGACATTTCGTAAAGCTTCTTATATGCACTTTGGGTTGCTGTCTATGCTAAGTATATGCTAAGGTACTTCATTTACTAACAGCATTTAAAAATATGAGTCTGAACTTTCATTCATGTTACAATTAGTAATTTGATTGTTAACAGACTTTGAGCCCAAGAACAACAACTTTTTTCATGCTTTATACAATTTATGTGTTTTAATTTGTAAATTAATGTATATCGTAAAGCTTCTATTATACAATGTGGGTTGATGCCCATGCTAAGTGCACACGAGCTCCTGCAAGCTTTGCATATTAATTAATGCTTAAATAATAAATGTTATAGTTAACAGTCCTTGATGAAATGTCATGTCAACATATTAATGTTATAATGTGACGCGCAGCAAACAAGGTTCATGAACCGAATCACAACGCGGATTGCAAATCTGAATGATCTAAGATGATCTACTGATAACGGTATGCATTATATTGATTGGAGGGTGGACTATAGCTGGGCGCATCTAGCTCCGAAAAAATGCCTTCTCCTGTATCACTGCCAGGCCGTAGTACGCCTTCGCTGTAAGCAAATCAAATATAACAGTTGATTCAAAGGTACTTGTATAACAATTTAGAAGTTCTTTTAGCTCACCCAAAGATGCTGCCTCCAAATCTGCCCACATTTGCAGTTTGATAATAATTATACGGCGTCGCGTTAATCCAGGAAATAAATCCCATTAAAAAACACAGCGTAAATAAATAAATGTTGAGCAACTTCATTGCAAAAAACCTTTAAATTTGTATATTATATATCCGTATTAATATATATATATAAAATATTCCTTCACAGATGTTGTCGCAATGAGCTCTAATCGGACTATGCGGCTGTGATTTGGTAGAATGTCATCTATTTATACTAACCAGATTTTGACCAGTATATTTACATATGTGCGACATATATACGATCAGAACTAGTTTCGATCAGTGGCGGTGATTTAACTCAATCGCTTTTTAATTGATAAACGAAATTTGAATTGATATTAAATATTGTCAAGAATATAAATATTGTTAGAAGGTTAAAGTTACAAAATATTTCATAATACAACATCCTATTCGCTCTTATTTTAGTGGACAAATTAATTTCAATAAAGTGCGTCAAGTGCGTCATAAAAAATGTTAGTAATAAAAATAATGAAAAAAAAATCACAAGCAAACATGTTTTTTTTTTATTTTTCGCAAGAAAATGAGGAATCTAAACTTGATCTGCCTGAACGTCTTGCTACTGTCTATTGAAAAAGAAGATTGAAATATTTGAATCCGGTTAAGTTATCTTATCTCTTTGTTATGAAATGTGTTGACTAACGCTTAATTGATTTTATTTTAAAGTTAGTGTCGGCTACTGCGTCACAATATGTGACGCCATTGAACCGGTTCCGCAATTTACAGTTTTCGATTTCGAACAGGCTATCGATTATTGCCTGCGTGGTGAAGTGCATCCTGAACAGAATTAGTTGCTCTAAGGCAAAAAAGCTTGACGGCTTTGAATCGGTTCCGGAATCATAATTTTGAATTGGGTGTAAATCGCATTGTATATCGATTATTGCATGGAATCGTGAACGGCATTTATATACGAATCAGTTCCCTTGGGAATGAATTGTTTAATAGCTGAGCTAACAAGTGAACTGTTACAAATTTGAATAGTACAATGAGTTGCCTATGGTTTACTTTAATAATAATAATAATAATAGAAATTTATTAAATATATTTTATATATAACGTTGGCTACTTTTCATAAGTCCCTCGTTTATTTTTATATATTTACGACTCACACACTAATTATATTTTTTTTCAAGCAGACATTTTTGGCAAAATTAAAATGTTATTATGTGTGCGCTTATCTGCGGCGTCTTTCGAGTCACCCCCCGTAGAGGGGAGTCCGTGGAGCCTTTAAGGCAGGCAGCATTGCATTTCAAATGAAGCCGCAAATGATGCGAAGCCCGGCCCCAAGCAAAGCGCCTAATGGCCCGCACACAGATAAGCCCAGCTGTTGCAATGTGTGTATGTGTGTTTGTATGCTTGTGTGTGTGTTAGTGCTGGCTCTTTAACTGTTTTAAACGCCATTGTTAAAATATTGCTCATACGCACTTCCGCTTGAAATGGGGTCTTTGCTTGGACTAATGATGCCGCCGCAAACAGCGCTGGCCAAGTGCTTAGAAACGACAGCCGAAGCTGTGGCTCCGCCCACTCAGCAACAGCAGCACAGATAGCTATATACACAGATATGGAGCGCGCAGGCGCATCAACCACCGCAAAGGCTGCGGGCTGCTGCTGCTGCTTGGGCATCCTTTTCCGATGGTCCCTTGTGATTGTGGGAGGAGTGTGTCGCCATCTTGAGAGCGAGATGATTTGTGTGGCCCAGTCTGTGCCTCTGACTGCTCGCTTGCCTGCCTGACTGCCTGTCTGTCGCTGTGTCTGTTGGCCAGCTTTATGTATTGGACGAGCGGGACATACACATTAAGTTGGAGTGCGCGTTACCGTTACGAACACGTCGCGGAGCACCAAGGATAATAACGGTACTTTTGCGGTTAAGGATTCGTCGGCCACACATTGCAAGGCCTGTCCAAATAGTCTCTGACCAAAAGGACGAAATAAAAAACCAGCCACAAATAAAAACAGAGCAAATACAAAATACAAAAAAAATAACAACAATTTGCTTGTTGCTTGCAGTGGGCGTGGCACACACTCCTCGCTCTCTCCTACCGCGCGCGTGTGTGTGTGTGCGAAATTTTGTTGTGCGGAAATTATTGAAATTTTACTTTTGATTTTGTTGGCCAAGCGCGCGCTCTGCCCTCGAAAGTGTCCTTACGACGATGTTTAAGGGACGCGTTGCGACGGTCACCGACGGCCTTACGTCCCTTTCGCACTGACAAATTTCCTTGCATATCCGCTACAACAACAACAGTGAACAATAGCAACAGCAACTGCAACAAACTAAACACACTATTTGCGTAGTCCCTATTTCTAGTGGCCCCCACCTTCGGCTCCTACTACAGCCCCTGCTCCTTCTTCTCCTGCTCCGTCGCCTCCTTCTCCTGCTGCATCAGTCCGCAACTCGATCGCTTGCCGCACATCCGTCGCCATTTTGGACAATAATTTCGTTTCCGCTTTGCCAAATGTAACGGTAAACGGCAATAAAAAACACACGAAACAAAATGCCGCCAACTGACGTGAAGTGAACCAAGTGAAGTGAAGTGAAGTGAAGTTTGAGCAAATTAAAAGAAATTTCATTGAAACATAAACTGAATGAATTGCAATTCAAATAAAACAATTTGACCCAAAGCCGTTAATTAATAAATAATAAATTAATTTCAAATTTGACAATTTTTGGATAAACTTAAACTTACAAAAAAAGCATAATCCTGAGGTGAGTTTTCTAGAGTTTGCTGAGGGAATGATCAGAAAATTTTTAAATAAATTATTTGTTTGATATTCCATTCATATTTAATTATTGCGTTTAATATACTATTCCTTGCTATTAATATATTAATTATTATTACTATTTTCATTATAATTTTAGGCTCATATAAATTGTTTTTCAACCAAGTTAAGGTTGAAGCTTGAGCCAAGTTATGAACCTTCTATATATTTATTACTGTTGATATTATTTATTTATTTGTTTTATTTTATATTTTTACATAATAAACCAAATGAAATCAAGTTTTTCAAATTGCTTTTATTAGCTAAGATAAATAATTATATATATTTACTGGACAGCTTTCCTATGGATGCTCTTTCCTCTTCCCTCTTCTCCCTCCCTCTATCATTCCAACTGCTTCAACAGCCGCTAGTTCGTTGACAAATAAAGATGTTTTAAAAGTCTAAAAAGAGTTTTCTAGAGTTGGAATTGTACTTACAGAGCAACTCACTCTATTTTTATATTTTATGTTTTACAATATCTGGAAAAACAGATATGATTTGGGCGCTTATATTAAAGATCATGTCAGCGTCATGTCAAATACTTTAGTCGGATTTATGATTACTAATTAATGTAGGCCTGTGCAAAACATGCAATTGTTAGACAACAAACAAAGGATACTAAAACGGGTTATCATAATACTCAAAGCTATGAGACATAGAAGAAATGAGTGCTTCAGACAGGTAAATATCTGTCCTCTGTCTTCATTAGTCGCCTCTTACGACAAGCTGAGACAAGCTGTGGAGGTATTCTAATGCCCGCCAACCACACGGGTGAAATAATGAAACGAGTTTAAAAAATATTAATATATACATATAAACAATATTGCATAATCAGATAAAAATGTAAATTACTTAAGAGAATTCTTCAAAAAATAACAAAGAAAAAAATGCATTTATTATTGCATTTTTATTTTTAATTATATATATATATATATATATATATATATATATATATATATATATATATATATATATATTTTTTTTTTTTTTTTCAATATTTAGTAGGACTTAGTTTTGTATATTTTTATTTATATTATATGAGTTTTTCATTTTATTTAATTTAATTTATTTTTATATTTATTTATATTATTTATACATTATTTTAATAATCTTTTAAGATTAATTTTTAATAAAAATACTTTAGAGTAATTAAATTTGTTAGCTTAGTTTTTAAATAGACCAAATAGACTTCAGCTCTTCGCCTCTCTTAGCTTCGCTGCTCTACAACCTTCAACTCTATGCATTGTCAGCTGCCTTCGCCGTCGGCTGCTGTCGCACTTAACGAATCCTCAGTATAACCAAGTGTTAAGTGGCCACGCCCCTTTGGCCATCCTACAGCCACCCAGCTGAAATGCCATTAAATGTAGCTGATAGGTAGAATCTTACAAGCCATTAAAGTGCCACAGCCACGGCGCGTGTGTCCTCATCCTGTTAATTAAAAGCTGCTACACGAGCATTATGTCATTAGCCAGATTTCTAGCTATGTATGCAAAGTGTGTGTGAGTGTGTATGAGTGTGCGTGTGTCTTTTTATACTTTTTATGCAGCCACGCGTCGTACCCCATGGCCGGCCGCCTTGCTCAGCTTCTGAGCTAACCATCATCAGCGCCGCTTCCCCGGCATCCTGCGTGTATTTCCGGCATGCGTTCGCTCGTTCGTTCGCTCTCGCTGCTGTGTGATAACTTCAAAATGGCAGCAAATGCTTGTCCTTCGCCGTGTCCTTGCAGCTCTATTGGCAAACGCGCAATTTGCTTGCCGAACGGCAAACACAATGATAAATAATAAACAAGGCGTGTGCGGGCCGTTTATAATGTCTGCTGCCTGATGATTTTCTCTGCAGCTGATAAGCGAAAATGTGCCCAGCTCTTCTTCTTGTTGCCTTAAAGCTGCCTGAAAGTGCGTTGCAAAATGAAATGGAAGCCCTTGCTGCTGCTGCTGGTGTTGCCGTTGCTGTAGCATAAATTTCGTTGGCATAAATCAAAATTCAGCAACTTCCGATGAAGGCAGAGTGCAAAAATTTGCATGGCATGCAGCACAACAACAACTGCCGCACACGCCAACACACACACACGCCAATATACATTCTCTATAATACAATAGCTAGCCATTAGAAAATATACGCTCAAATGGACGCCCGCCCACGCATAACGCTCATACGCAGCGTCGTCCAGTGCCGCTTCATAAATAATGCCCAACACAGATAATTATGCCTGTTGTGCGCATATCTTAGACTATACACCCAGCGCTGCTAATTATGTTGGCTAGTGTAACAGCTCTAAGCTGCATTTTGAAATATTTCAAATTGCAGTCATTAATTGCGGGCTGCTCCAACTCTGATTTATGTGCTTATTATCAGTCATGAATAGATGCATATATATATATATGTATATAGCTATATATATACAAATACACTGGAACAATTTTATTGTGGGTACTTTTAAGTGAGATTCTCTCCAATTTTATTTGTATTGAAAATCTAAATATAAAAATTTTAAAGAAATGTTGAAGTGAAAAAATATGGACTAAAAATAAGCAAAAATGTTTTTAATGGAAATTTATATATGAAAAAATATTAAATACGTTTTTAAATAAAAATCTCGATGCAAAAAATTCTTAAAGAATTTTCACCAAAAATCTAGATTTAAAAAAATCACAGATTAGTTTTAAGCTAAGCTAATTTAAGCTAAAGAAATTTAAAACATTTTATATAATAATGATATTGAAAGTTCCACTCTAATCTAAGCTTAAAAATCTTGACTAGTCGTTGAGACATCACCTTGAGTAGCAGCTTCCTCACAGCACCTATTTCGCTCTCTTCAACAGGCTTCCCTCATCTCCACTTCGCCGCGCTCTTTCATCAACTCACTACTACTACCGAGCTACTTACAGATCTCCTAGCCTCTCTTCAACTGCCTTCCAATACCTCCTATTCCCCTCTCTTCAAGCTGCGTCTCTCTATCAACAGTTGCCTCCTGTTCCTCTCATTCCAAGCCTCTCTTCAACTGCCTTCCAATACCTGCTGTTTCCTGTCTCATCAGGCTGGCGCCTCTCTACCTAGCGTTGCCGCCACATATCCGTTCCTCTTTCTCGAAGCCTTTCTTCAACAGCTGCTTCTCAGCTCCTGTTCCCTCTTTTCATCTCTTCACATTAAAACTTAATGCAAAACTTATTTGACTTCTAAAAAAATATACGAATTTCTAACCTATATTATGATATATATATTGTTATATATAAGTCCCAAGTCTGATCACATTTTCTATATTTTAGAGTCAAGTGGAATCCTTTGGTTCACCAACAAGTAGCCGTTGACGCTTCGGAAGGCCGCGCCATGTACGAGAATTCGTGTTCGTATCAAACGGCGCTGGACTTGAAGCGCGTGTCGCCGCCGACGCTAGCCCAGGTGAAGACGGAGGACTGCCTGACACTGGGTCAGTGCTCACCGGACTGGACCTCATATCGCTTCCATCAGTCAACGTTCGAGCAGCTGAAACAGAGCGTGGAGAAGGCCAAGGCGGCGCTGCAGGATCGCAGCAGCTTCTTTGGTGCCAGCAGCGCCTTCAGGTGAGCCGCCAGCTGGGCAGCATAGAACTCTGTATGATCTTAATGCTTCCCTTTCACAGTGACATCTACTCCAGCCAGCGGCTGAGCGATACGCTGGACACACTGCCTGCCATGCAGAATGGCAGTGGAGCTGGCAATTGTTTGGGTCTCTCGCACAATGCGGGCGCTGGAGTGGGCGTTGGTGTGGGCGTGGGCGTGCTTAATTATAATAGTGTTAGCAGCAGTAGCAGCGTCGGCGTCGGCGTACTCGGCAGCAGCGTGCAGCGACATCGCCTCGATACGCTGCAGCCTCCCTCGGGCTGCTCACCGGCGGGCACACAGCATGGAGTCATCACGTCCAGCGCTGGCCAGCTGCCAGCCGCCAGCTTGGATGTGGTTGCCAGCTCGCCCTCATTGCCGCCTTCGCTGTCAGCGTCGACCACCTCGCATGTGGAGCACAAAGTGCGAACAGGTAGGAGCTGCTGGAAGCATACTTTAAATATATACTTAAGACTCTTCCTCTTCCTCTTAAGATCTTCTATAGGTATTTTAAATCAGCATAGATTATTATATTAATACTGTCTGTCTACATCGACAAGGAAAAGGTTTTGTTGTAGCTATTTATGTATGTATAAAAGTCAAATCGATTTAAGTGAGTTGAGCGCAGCCTTTGGACTTTGGAAGTTCTAAGATCTTAGCTGCTTCATGCAGTTGTGCGTCTAATATTTAGTTGAGCTAATATTCCTAGCTAAATTGATATATATGATAATATGATTGATAATCATTGAAGATTTATTGGTTATAGACTATTTTGTAGTATTATATTGTGAATCGAGAAACTTATTCACCTTCAAGGTATTTGAATAACTAGAAACAATGATCTTTTACTAAGGTATCTGTTCCCTAAGATGTATAGAATAATATTTTCTTGACAATTTAAAATAGCTAAAATCAAATAAAAGTGCTTTTGCTGGGAGTGTTCGACTAGGAGATATCCTGATCATCTTCAAGCATGCATAAGCACAGGCACTCAAGCACAGCTATATAAATACACATACTTACACACATATATAGACACGGATACAACCCCACACACACTCGCACACATAAGTCGAGTGGCGCTTATTTCTCTAGCTTCTGTGGCTCAGCCGATCATTGCTTTCATAAGGACGCACAGACGGTTACACGGCCAGATCGACATAGCTCGTCGTCTTCATCAAGCAAATGTATATTTTATTTAGTCTGCTATGCCTTCGTCTGTTTGTTTCATACAAATTCCCATTTCATTTATGAGTTTTAGGATATAAAAAGCAAAAAAAAAAGTTACAATTTTTCATATAATATTTAAGTCAGTGGAAATGCTGTTAGCTTTCTATACTATATACAGCTATAAACTTGAAGTTTTGGTATAATATATAATGCACAATATATTCTAAAACTATATAAATTTGAGTATTATCTTAAAGCTCTAAAAGTTTTATAATAAACATGAGCCAAATATAGTAAGAAGCATGAATGAAAGAAATGCTTTTACTATGTAGCATTAAGTCTGCTGTTCGCTTGCTGCTATAGGCTAATCAGAAGACTTTATTTGATAAACAAATCTAAAATCTTACATAGTTCCCTAGACTGTTTTCAGCTCAATAAAGTCTTTCATTTAGTTAAGCTCTTCTGCTTCATAGATTTCCCATACCATACGTTGTCGGATAATAAACATAATCCAAATTGTTTTCAGCATATGATAGCGGCAAAGTAAATAACATGTGGGCAGCTTGTGTGACGGCGTTCGCCCACTGGCAACCCACTGACCTTCTCGCCATGGTCTAACACAAATGTCAGCGAAATGGCGGAAAAACAAATCCTGCGCTTCCGCCAACAAAGCCAACAGCCGAAAAAAAAAAATTGTTTCTCTTACAAAAGTGAACAATTTTCGCGTATTTATTTAAACACATTCGGGCAACATATGTTGACCACTGTCCGAACATAAAAACCACCCACACACACACACAGCAATGCCGAAAAGGCGGTTGAGAGCCATTTTTGTTTTAGCCAAAACAGGAGAAGAAAAAATTGGCATAAAAAGCCAAATTGAATTATCCATATAAACGTCAAGGTCTTCGTGTAGTTGACTCCAGCCCAAACTGTTTATCAATTTAAGCCGGCGCAACGGATGTGGCTTATAATGTGGCCAGAGAGGGGAGTTGGCGCAGCCGAATGGAAACATCAAAAATGCACTGTCCACAATAATATCATCGCGTGCCTGGCTAGAATTTGTTATGCCGCCTCCGACTCTGTTGTTCTGCTTCAGCATTTTGTATTGAAGAAATTCTATATAAGAAATTTCCTTTCCTACTCTCGTATTTCTTGTGACTTTTTAATCGCCTTAGCTGTGTAAGCCGGAATCCAATATGACAAGCTGGCGAGGCGTTCTTTTCTGACTGGTTTTTAGGGTGAACCAAAATGGCCGTTTGCAGTCGTCAACTCGAACACCCAGCCTCAAGCAAATATTTGCAGTGAATCCTTTTGAGCTGTCTCTTGGAGCAGGCATACCTCTTTTACGCCCTCTCTCTCTGGGCTTCTCTTTCTGCCTCTCTTTGTCTATCTCTCTTTATGAGCTTTGCTGTGCTGTCAACTTGCTGCCTTCTGCTCTGCTGCTGTCGCATAAAAGAACTTTGTCATGCGTAACTCATTATTTTTTGCTCGAGAATCGTTTGGCTTACAAAGCATATAAAAGATAATTACACTTCCCCATCATGCATAATAGCATAAGATCATCATTGTATATATAGAGTCAACTTTATGCCAAAGACTTGAGCTCATCTATGAAACTGTTCAGCTTTGAACGAGAAATGCCAGTTTGAAGAAAATGTTTTAAGGACTTGGATAGCTTTATAAATATTCAAGAGTAACTCAGAAATTGAGTTAGGCATTAAATATGGACTCATTTAGGAGTTAATATATTTTTTAAATTTAAAATGAGAGAAAGTAAGGTGCAGCCAACAGAAGGCAATTAAATTACAATATTCCTACGATTCTAGCTTAAGAGCCCCAGTTTAACCCTGCTCACAGTAGGCATAGATATATGGCTCAAACATAAGAGGAGGCCTGCAGTAACAGTTGGAGCTCTAGTGACAAGGACTACATTTATAATATTTTTATAAAATTTAAGAGACAAGACCTACTTAGTATTATACATTTATATCTTTCTACAAATTGTTTCTTATTTAAATATTAAGTACTCTGGGCGTTTATCCCTCGAGGCTCAATTATGGCACAGTCATGTTCTCACAGGCATCGTACACAAGTAAATTTTAGTCTCGGCTATTATCAGATATGGTTATCAGGATTCGCATTGACATTTCAATTGGAAAGCGTTGCGAATTGCACGACCTACGCTTATTGTTGTTTACATCAAACAAAGATTTACGGCAATTAAACACGGCTACGGCTGCTACTGTTGTTGCTGCTGCTGGTTGATGTCAGCTCTGAGAAGTGACAACCCTCGCGATTATATCGTTTGCGGTTCACAGGCTCTGTCCGGCTAAAAGGAAGGGTGGCTGTTGCTGCTGCGCTGCCGCCGTCTGAGCGGCGTTGCGTGTCAGCCACGTCATGGTCGGCTGGTTGGCTGGTCGACTCGTTGGTTGGTCGGGGCAAAGCACTCGCCGACTCTCAACCAACCATAATTTGGGTAATAAATAAACGGGCAGTTATCTATGCTGAGATTTATGACTTGGCCCATTTCTAGCTGTAGCTCTCCCTCGCCACGTCGAATGGCAAAGCGTGTGCAAATTTGTGCTGCATTGCAATTAAAATTTGTTTTGTTTGTTATACTTTTTTCTTCGCACAGAGAAATCCTCGCTAGATTGCGCTACAACGTCCTCGCATGCTGTCGCCGCCTCGTCCTCCAGCGCAGCAGCCTCTGCGTCCAGCCATGGCAAAAGCAGCAGCAGCAGCGGCAGCAATGCCAACAACAACAATGCCAGCAATTCACTCTGTAAGTATCAGTCACATGAATATATATCTTAGCCTAAGACTATGTTAAAGGTCCTTCTAAATGTCGATTGTCGCCTGTCAAAAATGTGAGCTTTGACAGCTTTCTAGCTGAGACAAGAACCAGTGACAAAATGCAAGCGCAGTTGGCAGCTACGCGACAATAGATGGCGCTGCCTAACTGCCTAGTAGGTCGCTAAATATTCTATTGCTGTCAAATTTAACGAGTGCTTTAACTTGCATAGGTTGCATGATTGATGATGAATGAATGATTATTTAATAGTTAATGTATCAAATAATTATTTGAGCTGAACAACTTAGGATTGAATATCAAATTATAAAAATTGAAATTGAAATTGAGTTTGAATCATGTTCAACAACTTGTCAAGCGACCAACTCAGCTTGTCAAATTGTCAGTTGTTACCATATTACTTGAGGTTTAGCTATGTATGCAGCAATTAACTATTCAGCCAGCATATGTAAGGCGCGTAGGGTTGCCACCTTGTTTGATCACAGCAATTTTGTTAACAATATAACATTTTTTGTAGAAAGAAATGTAGTTATACCATAACAAGGTTCCAAGTGAGACTTTAGACTCTTGTCTTGACAGCGTAATGGCGTTGCCATATTATCCAAAGTATGATTTTTTATAGGTTTATCAAGCAACTTTATCAAGTTTTCAGTGAGTAGACTGAGCTTAGCACTCAAGTGCAAGAAGCTGTTAAAGATTGAAAAGAAAAATATATCAATGGCGTTGCCACATAGTTTGTGCATGTTAACTAAATTATTAATATATATTTGCGCATACTTCATGCTTAACATGTATTTGCCTTAGCTCTAAAGTACTGTCTATAAGGGTCATCTGGTCTAACAACTTCCAACCTTTAATGAACTAAATGTCAACTACTGACTCATGTGAACTATACGAAGCGATGAGGCTTACCTTAATGTCTCAATTGCAAGCACCACTTGACTTTGATGCCTGCAAACTGCAGTAATCCCGAGTGCCGCTTGGCAGCCTTGTGGGAAAGTTGGGCAAACAATCGTCATAGTACATGGCCACTGTAAACATACAAAACGCAACAGTCAAAACAATTTGGGCAGCGACAGCGTTGCCAGCCGTTGATAATTTGACTCTTAAGTGCTCTTCAGCGCTAATCCTATTAAGCGTGTTGCCAACAACACACAGTCACACGGCAGCCAGTGAAGGGAGGCAACCCCATGGCATAAATAGATAGCTGGATGACTGCCTGGCGAGAGGGAGGAGAGGGGGATGAACTCAACAACAATGAGGCTAATCGACAGATCATAAAATGATCAAAATGTTATGTGAAGCGCATTAGGGCGCACGCGTCGTTGACAGCGTAGCTAAAAACGGCTGGGGTGAAGGGTAGTCTAAATCGTGGAAGGGTAGCTGGTAGCTCAATCGAAAGTGTGAGATATACTGATTTGGCATTGGCACTTGAGAGGCGGCGCACTTCGCTTTGGCTTAGATAAAATAAATAAGATGTGATTATTTGTAGTGCCTGTGATTAGTGCTTAATTATTTTAAATGTTTATGGGACTGAAAGAGCGGAGATAGGGGGAGGGAGAGAAACAATGAATGGGCGAATGGCAAAGGTGTTAAAAGTATAGAGTAGGAGAGAGAAAGAAGTGGAGAGAGACAGAGAAGCAGAGAGAGCAACATGAGGAGAGAGAGAAATAGATAAATAAAGAGAAATGGAGAAAGAAAGCGAGAATAGTCGAAAATCCTTCTATGACAGCGTGATTACCTGAATTTATTTCTAGTGTCTACCAACTTCATTCGCAGTTCTTAACCGAATCTAGTCTCGATCATATATCACTCGCTAATATCATATATTTAGTTAATTTTGCTTAATTATTTTTAAAATAATTTTTAATTTATCCATATGCTTACTATGCACTCTTCATACCTTACTTTACAAACATATAATAAGATATTTATTTTTGAATTCCATTTAATGAAATAATTTCAAGTTTTCGAGCGCTTTGACATTCGCTTATCGCGCATCTCTCATCAAATTTTCCAACGTAATCTCATAATCTGTGAACATTAGACCCCCAACCCTCTTAGCACTCAGCGGGTGTTGCCACACCCACACACATAGGGAGAACGCCCACAAATCTGCGACACGTTGTCACATTGTGGAACACCAACAGCCACCCCAACCCCTACCCCTGTCTTCCCCAACCCCCTGGCGCCGTATGTTTTGCTCACTTGAAATTTAATTTCTGATTTCATTTGCGCACAGTTTGTAATTCTCATCTCTCTTTTTTTTTGCGTTTGCTTTCGTAATTGTTTCAGGCTGTGAAAATAAATTGAAAATGTTCGCCAGTGCCAACTGTGCGACAGTTGGCAACACTGGCAGCAGTAGCGCCAGCGAGCTCTCTGCCTGCTCCTGCTTCTGCCGCGCGTCCCTTTTGACAGCTTCGCGCGCTAACGCGCTGCGCCTTCAATTTATGCGCTTCATATTTTTTAAATGTTACAAAAAAATAAATAAATAAGGATAAGGAGGATAAGGAGGGCCTGGCCGTAAAGGTTTTGTGTCAATGTATGTAACAGGCAGTAGGAAGCGGCTCTGACAACAGAAAGCATATATCTTGATTAATATTAATGATCAACGGGCTGTGGCGATGGTAGTGCAAAAATATAAAAAAATATATTTATATATTTTAAAGAAATTTATTATTAATAATAAAGTAGAAAATTTAATTATATTATTTATTTTAACCATTGAAAATACCTTTCTGTTAATATGTGTTTAAAAGGCAGCAGAGGCTTGGCAGAAATTATAAATTATATATATTTTGATGCAGGGCGACGAACTGAGTTGACTGTCCTTCTGTCCGTCCTACAGTCCTTCTGCTTGTACGTCCATCCGTTAGTCTGCCCATCCATTCATCCGTCTGTCTGTCTGTCCTTATGAGCTAGAGAATTGAAATTGTTAATGTAGCCCGCCCAATAGCAGGATCAAGTTGGTTTCAAATAAACGATCATTTATTCTATTCTATAAAATAATAAAAAATAATAAATCGAAAAAATAAGTAGGTAAACTTCAGTAATTCAGGCATATATCTTAAGAAGATGGAAATATAATTAACTCCAAAGTTCATCTACTTATTGCTTCCAATCTCTACCATATTAAGTTCTTTAAATATGCAAACTACCCTCGTATAATCCAGTCCGTCTGTCTGTCTCTAAAATATCAGTAGCTAAAGACTTGAAAACTTACACGTTTCTACAATATTTGCAATAATTTAAAGCAGCATTAGTTTTACATATTTGATCGATAACACTAAAATCGATTTACAGTCTTGCACAATACTTAAACAAAATATATAAAATTTGGCATGCAGACTCTAGTGCGTCATATATGTAAATATATGCAAAATATATTTAAGTTTTGCCTATGCGAACAGTTTTCTTAAGATTGGATGCTAATAGTCTGGACTTTGCGTGGATAGACATAAATTATAATGCCTAAAGCTTGGCAAGGGCTTCTCACAGTTACACACTCGCTGCTAGACAGCCCCTCCTATTTTTAAATATATATTTTTTTTTTGAGCATGACTTGGCCTGGTTTACAAAAGTTCAAGCGCTTGAAAAACTTTTTCCCATGCTATGTGTTGCTGGCCATACACATGTGTGTGTGTATGTGTCTGTGTGCGCGCTTCTATTGATGTCCAAATATTTTTATTCATGGCCCTTTTCGCGGTTCACTTAACTCCCAGCATAGTCATTATGGCAACCCCCTGAGATTTGTGCACGAGTTGCTCATAAATCAATTCATTGTTGTTATTGTTATAGCCACCCGCTCCTCTCTCACTCTCTCTCTCTCCGCCCTGGTTGTTGTAGTTGTCGATGACGGCAACAAGCTGGAAAATGTTGCTAATTTAGCTGTGCAGTTGACTCTGCCCCGTGATAATAACAATTTGCCTAAGCAACGGCTACACGAAAAACTTAAAAATCAATTAAAAGCCATGTAGAAGGCAATGCTTGACTAGGAAATACCTTTACCTTAGAGCTTATGGACATTGAGATTAGCGAATTTGTTGTTATTAGTATTAGCCTCATGAGCGTTGCCTTTATTATTATCCTAATGATCATTAGCTTAGTGATTAACATTATCATTGTTATTATTTTGAACATTATTGATATAATTATCATTATCATCATTATTATTACCGTAGCTATTACAATTAATATCATTAACAACTATCATCATCATCATTAAATTCATCATTAGCATTAGTAGTTTTAGTATCATTATTATGCTCTTCTTAAGGCATAGAAAGATGATATTCAAGCTACCGCAAAACAGCTCAATTTAGAAACGCTAAGCTTATCTTTATGATCAGGAATATATATATATATAGAGCTATAGAGCTGCCTTCGTCTCACGCACCAAACTATTATACCTTGTGTGTAGAAAATGTGTGGAAACTATAAAAACTGTCAGGGCAACGCAGGTAGGAGCAGATAGGGAGAGAAGTGCAGTGAGAGAGAGGGAGACGGGGAGCGAGCTGCAGAGTACGGCAACAGGTCGTTTCCGCTGCGGGCCCATTGTGATTTATGCCGCTGAAAATGACCCGCTTCCGACATGAAATATCAAAAATCACGCGCACTTGCAAAGTTTAGAAGCGACGACGACGACGACGATGAGGACGACGACGACTCTGGCTCGCACTCTGGCAACGTTGTCGTTTGCACCTACCGCCGGAAACGGAGCGCAGCCAGAGCCGGAGGTGGCCGTGTCGAAGCGTCTCCGGTTGGCCAAAAGCGGACTGCAATTTAGTTGTCAATTGAATTTATGAGCTACGACTTTAGCAATTTATTGTGTTGCACTTTTTATTTTGTGCTCGCTTTTCTCAAGCTAACAGCCAGACTGAGGGACTGCTACTGGGACTGGGCTGGCTAGCGTGAGAGCTAAATAATGGCCCAAAAGTCAATCGGGCCAATTGACAGTCGCACGAGTCAAACCGCGTTGTTATTTATGACTGCAATGCCACGTGAACGTGAACGTGAACGTGAACGTGAACCTCAACCTCAGCTCAACCCCTTGTAGCCTTTACACCCCACCCACCCTCGCTCTCTCGCTAACTCGCCTCGGTGTAGTTTGTCTGTTAATTGTTTGTTTGCTGTCGCTTGTCAACTGGCCCTTGAGTCCCTTCTCTTCGCATTTGGCGTGTGAATATGTTAGTTTTCAAAAAAAAAATGAAAAAGGTGAACAATTCAACTTCAAGTCAAACGCTGCAGTTAAGCGACGGTAATCGGAGTCGCGTACCACGCACCACGCACCACGCACCAGTCACCAGTCACCGCTCAACCACCCCTCACACCACACCCACCGCCTTTCCCAGCCAGTTTCAATTGCGCAATTATAGCGCCCATTGTTTGCATAGACAACCAAAAAAGAAAAAACGAAAAAGGTACACCAACAATATGCTTTGCCCTTTTCATTTATTGTCTCTTTGCGTTTCGTGTTTTCCTAATTTGTTTTCATTACAATTTTCACTTTTGGTTTCTGTGGGAAGTTTGATGTCAGTTTTGATAACTTAATTGTATTTGTCCAATAAATATTAGAACTCTGCAGAAATTTCACACAGTTCAGAATTGAGAAGCATTTCAGGACTCTAGCTGGTGCCCAAAGATAGTTTGAAAGTTTCAAGTTTACTTGAAGATTGTCAGACCAGGCAGAGCGCATCTTCTTAAGTGCCTCTTCGAGATAGGTCTGAAAAGTTGCCTAACAAGTAATATAGGTATTTCTCGAATTTGTTTTACTTTTGTTTTTGTTAACATGGAGGCATTGACAACGTTTTCCGAGCCTTATCAAATAATGTTAACTACCTTACTTTGCTCTTAGCATCTAAAGAATACGCTTCGAGAAACGATCCTTACACATAAACTGCTTCAATTTTATTGGCTTGTTTAGAGATATAAACAAGCGATACTTTCTATTGGTAAAAAAATGTAAAATGTATATACATATAAAAGAAAGTGACTGACTCAACTAAATTCTTATTTTGTTAAAAATTCTATATTCTATATACGCTATATTGGCATTATATTATTTCATTAATATCTTCCAATTTTATGCTCTTTCGTGCATCTACTTAAAAGTCTCTTAAGACATCTGCTGCCTCAAGTGCTTGTATCCGCACTTCCAAGCATCCAGTCTTTGATGATAATAGCATTCTTCTAGTGCACAGCTTCTAGTCATATGACTTCGACCCTTAAGTTAACTTTTATTGAAAGTCCATTTGTCGCTGATTTATGGTACTTCATTGTCACAGACGTTGCCGCCCATTTGATTAACCAAAACATGTAACCAGACAAAAGCTCACATAGCAAAATATACGATGCAATGCCTAAGCCAATGGTTTGAAATTATATATATATATAATTATATATATATATATATATATATATATATTTGATATATGTCACGTATACATCATTCTATATATATATATATATATATATATATATATATATATATATATATATATATATATATATATATATATATATATATATATATATATAGAATGATGTATACGTGACATATATCAAATATCTTAGTATAGTCAGTGGAGTAAATTGACACAATTTTGAAACATTTAATATATTCTGTAGAAGAGTTGAAACAGCAGATTTAATAATTGAATTAAATCCATCAAAATTGCCTTTGTGTATTTCATGAACTATATAAAGCTATTGAAATTGAATATTTATATATTCGAAATATAATAAATATTATAAAATATAATATAATAATATATTAAATATATTTATACTTTTCTTTTCTATGTACATAAATATTTGATTATCTTTTGATAATTTCATAATTTCGTTTGATAAATATGGATTTTCTTGTATGTCTTATCCAGTGTCTTCTGTAAGCTTAAGGCCACATAGTGTTCCTTGAATAGGTAATTCAACCTGGTCAGCATACCTCATATATATATGTTTCCAAGCTCTAACATAAAACGAAATTTCTTGCTTATGTTAATCGTTTAAAAGTATTTAATGTTAATTACAGAAAATTAGAGCAGAGTGGAGCAGATCTAGTCTGTAAAGTAAGAGTCATAGTTGAGTCATAGAACTTGTAATAGAATGAAAATTTCCTATGTAAGCTAGAATTGAGTCGTTTGGCACGCCTATATAGCTGCTCATATCGTACTATAATAAGACGCAATCGCATTCATATGTCCCGCTATAATACCTATTAGAATAATACGCAATTTTCGGGCAGCGTAAAAAATCACGCTGCAGGCAAAATGAGCAATCGCAATCGCTACGACGGCGGTCACAGAAAGGAGCAATCACTTCAAATGCTTTGCCCATGGTCCTGGCCAGCTGCAGAATGCGTCCTGTCATGCCCGCTGGGCTGGGCTGGGCTCTGCTAGGCAGGGCTTTCAGTCAGTCAGTCAGTCAGGCAGTCGTCCAGTTGGCCACGTGCCGTCGCGTGTTATATCATTCATACGTCATTAAAGGCCACGTGCCCAGCTCCTGGCTGTTGTTATTGTAGGCAGTTTGTTTTTGTTGCATAGACACAGGCGCGTTATATTAGCAACAATCTCGCTCTCTCCCTCCCTCTCGCTCTCTCGCTTTAGCTGCCCTTCTGCCTCTCTTTCGCGCAGTTGCTTTATTGAGCTTGAGAAAACAAATCGCAGCGTTGATTGCGTTTCTTATTAACTGCAAATGTTGGTGGTTGCCCCAGTCAGACAATATGCTGACTGTCAAGCAATCTTTCCCTGCACCACCCTGCACCGCTCTGCCCCTCATCCACAATTTCCATGTCATGTTTGTCTTGACGCTCCGTTGACTTCTTCTGGCTGCACACAAACAAATGGAACACGAACCTTCGATGCATTCGACTTGGCTGGTGGTTGGCTCTAAGATGACGCATTTGAACGCCTCTGCCCGCACCATTTCGTGTAGGCGTGGCACTTTTGGCGACTTAGCAACCGCGACTTCAGTGTGGGAGCGGGAGAGGGGCGGAAGGGGCGGTTGCGAATGTTGCGCCTCTTTGCCTTTGCATGCAAAATGGCGGAAACAGCGCCACAAAAGAAATTAATTTAAAGTTTTCGCCACAGAGCGTGAAAATGAAATTACATAATGAATGCAATTAAAATACCAACTAAATTTCGCACAACACACGCACATACACACACAGTCAACGCAAACTGTTTTAGCCAAGTTAACTGGATTTGGTCTACTTCAACCCGCAACCGGCTGCGCCTTTGCCTTTGGCTGCCAAGAACAGCAAATTGCTATTTAGCCATTTTAGATTCCATTAGCAAAAGTTCACACATACACACGCACACACACGCACTTGTAGACAAACATATTTAGTTACGAGGGTGGCTTTAAAAGTAAATTTCTATTTATTATATAGTTGGCATATGAAGCTTCGATAAAGCGTTTAAAAGGTCTTATACTTGGACATGCACGGAACAAAAATATATTGGCTTTGTGCTATGTCGAACTGGTTTTTCTCTCCTTCTATTTGATTGTCTGTTTGTCCCTTGAAATGACAGGAGTATATTGGCTTATGTCCTTCTGCTTGGCTGCCCTTGTGTCTGCATTTCAAAATATTTTTAATATTTTTTAGGCATCAGCAAGGCATGCCAAGCTATACAATAGGCTTATGATTCAGTTTTCATCGAGAATATATCCAAAATGTAAACATTGCCAATAGATATAAATAGTAACTTTAATTCTCTCTATTAGACAAAGTATTCCAACTCATAAAGAGAACTTTGGCTAAGGCTTACTGCGCTCATTTAACTAAGAAATAAAACGTAAGAACTGTTGTTAAGTATATATTTAAGCTATAGATATGAATATATATATGTGATTTGACATGGGTTTGCTATCATATGATGTAGATATGATTAGATATGATATAATGTATACATCATATAATATAGATTTCCCACAATGTAGGAGATTTCATATGATAGGGATATCATATGATATATATAATATAATATGACATAGATGTGATATAATTGTTGTACCAATACAGCCGTAGTCTTTTATAATAAGTTCTATATATATAGTTCAGGATCATATACACTTATTTTAAATAGCTTAAAAATTTTAATTTGATTTCCAATTAATCATTTTCTATTATTATTATCCAATAAAATACATCATGTATTTTTTATTATTATTATTTTTGTTTATTTATATTTTTATTGCTACATTTTTGTACTTGCTGAAAGCTATTTATTTATTCATATAAAATTTATAATTTTATTAATTAAAATTTAAATAATTAAATAAATGAATACTTATTATTTACGATAATTCCTTAGTCATATAATTAAAATTTGCTTGACTTTAGTTTATTTATTAATTTTTTTTATGCATTTTTTAATTTTATATTTTTTATATAATTCAGTCTCAGCTTTCTGCATGTTCTACAACTTCATAAATGCCTCTCGTTGTCTCAAGTGCATCTGAGATGTTAAATGGCTGCCATCAAGCCAAAAGTTGAAGCCGTTCTCCAGATAACTTTTATTAAATAACTGCTTGTCAAAGCAAGGCAACACATACACACACACACACTCACACTCAGACACACACACACTTAGCTGGCACACACATCGCCTTGAGTTGCCAACTTTTTGCGAAAAAGCGAAATTTGTTTTTAGCAGCTCACGAAAAAAAACTATCAAAAGCTTTCGCTGCTCACATGAGTGTGTATGTGTATGTGTGAGCAGCTGCAATTTGTATGTTAACGCCTGTGAATTAGCCACCCAGCTAGCAGCAGGCAGCGAGGCCAGCGGCTAGATTAGCAAAAAGCTGAAATGAGTTTTGCAACTGAAAGAACAGAAAAAAGAGGAAAATAAAAACAATTTCAATGAACTCCAAAATTAATTAAGCCAGGCAAAGGACAGTGGGTGTATATATATATATATATATATATGTGTGTGTGTGAGTGTGTGTGTCTATATCAGTTATTTTGCATAGCTGGAAGCGGCAGAGCTGTGAAAGGCAGCAAGTAAAATTGCACTTGAGCTAAAGCGCAGCTGACGCTGACTGCGACGCCTACGCCGCTGCTGGCAGCGCCGTCAGCGTAGACCGTGCAATCAGCGGCGCAACAACACAATTGTCGATTTGAGCCACAATTCCTGGCAAGCAGCTTGAATGGCCAACACTCACACTTGCAGAGCCAGCTGGCATTGTATTCAGGTGTAACCCAGCGAGCCACCCACTCATACACAGGCACACACACATACAAGCACGCACACCCACGCCCACTTGAATTTCTCCAAGTTGGATTTGTGGGTGTAGTCGCAATGTAGGCGAACGACGAAACGGTAATATCCTTGTGTTTGGTGGAAGGAAAAAGGAAGTGGATAATACATCCGTCCTTGTTGCTTCGTGTCACCCACTAAAAAGGCAACGCCACTTCTCAGTGGAACCGACGCCGACGCTGCATCAGAGGGACGACGCCACTGAGCGAGACAGCACTAGCATAACAGAGCGACAGAGAGTGAGACAGGGAGTGCGAGAGAGCGCGCGTGGGCTGACTGCAACGTAGCTGATTTCAAGTGGAAACGGTAAACTCCTACAAATAGAGAAGGAGAGAGAGAGAGTGAGAGAGAGACAGAGAGTAAGAGAGAGAGCGAGGGAGGCAGTTGATCGATAGTAGAAGTTTCAAATAAAACTTAGAAGTATAAATGTTTGCCCAAAAAAACCATTTGCAAAAAGCTTTCACTTAAGCGAGTGCATGTGTGTGTGTGTGTGTGGGAGAGAGTGAGTGTGTGTGAGTGAGTGTGCGTGTGAGCTAGGCCACACCTTGTCTCAACGCTGATTGGTGCTTGAGCGGAAAAGGGGTGGCTGCCTTTTTGGTGTGGATTATAACCTAAGTATATCCTGGCGAGCATAAAGGACAACAGCAGCGACGCTCACGTCGAACAGAGCCAGCAACACATACACACACGCACACACACAGTAAAGTACACGCACAGCGGCAGGCCAGACAGATAGATACACAAAAGCTGCTGCTGCCGCTGCAACCACCCAACCACCCCCACAATGCGACTGGCCGAGCCTGCGCCTTTCGTTCGAGGGGGTTGTTCGACTCGCTGCTGGCTGGCTGGCTGGCTGGTTGGCAGTGCCAGGATATGCCAGGATATGCGCGATTTGACGACGGAATGGAATCAATTGTTACGCTGCCGTGCCACAGATCGGACGCACAGTTTTCAACAGTCAAACACATCTGAAAGTGATTTACGCTGCGTATACGCGATATATATATATGTGGTATATGTATGTATATAGCAGAAGACAAACACAGTGATTGACACACATATAGAGACACTTGCTGTGAGCAGTGTCCAAAGTGCATTTTGGGTTTAGCTTCGGCCCCGGAAGTGAAGGTGTCCGGTAACGGTAACCGGTTCCGATCGTCACTTTTCCCTTTCCCGTTCCCGTTCCCGTTCCGTTTTCCGGAGCGCGCGCGCGTTTTGACTTTTTTTAAATAAATTAAATTGGCAATTGGACAACAAACACTTGATAGCCCCGTGTGTGTGTGTGCGAGAGTATTTCTGTTAACTGAGGCAGACTAAGGAGCAGCTGCACCGCCGGCAATTGCCGTCGCTGCCATCCACAATGCTGGACATTAAATCATCCGCCGATTATTTGTCGAGATCCACGGGCAGCTTCAGCAATTTCTCAATGCTCTTCGCAGGTGAGTGGGCGATGTGTGAATCCAGCCGGCCAACGGTGATGGGCAATCCCACATGGAATCCAAGTAAATAAATAATAAATATCTAGTCATATTTATTTATTTAGTATGCTAATAGAATTTATCTAGTTTCTGTTCTTCTTCTTCTACTTGCTAACTTTTGTAAATTTCTCTTCTGTTGCAGATTCCTCGTACAAATCTTCGTGGGGCTCCCACAGCTCCACACAATCGCAAGGTGAGCTTAAATAGTTTATATAAAATGTGTATTCGTAGGAGAAAAAATATTTAACATGAAATTTCTTAGTGAACCAAGCTACGTCAGATAGCAAAGCTCAGCATAAAATACTTTAAATTTATTAAAAGTTTAGAGAAATTGCTGTTTAGTCTTATATCTCTAAAGGTTTCTATCTACTCATATCTACATATATGATACAGATTTTTGGTATTTTTCATTCCAATATTTTGATTTTAAGAACAATTATAAATTTGTACGCGCCTTTGATATATCATCTTTGATATATCATCTTATGTATTTATATTTGCTTATATATATATATATATATATATATATATATATATATATATATATATATATATATATATATATATATATTTTAAAATTCTTTATGTATTCATATATATATTTTTAAGCTTCTGCATACTTTGAAGAGGTATTATAATCTTGTGTCAGCATTTTGTTCAACCTGGAAGCATTTAAAAAAATGATTGTATATGATCTTGTTCAGCTTGTTCCTTCGATGTTATATTTAACTGCTCAATCCTAACACAACTTTCTCTTCTCATGCGCAAGAAAAGACACAGGTGGCCAGGTCTCAAGTAAATGCTGTTTCATCATAAGTATTTTGTTTGTGCTCAAAAATTAGTTTTTGATTATTGGAGCCATTTTTTAAAGTAGGCCAATATGAAAGACGAGGAATATGCTCAAGCCAAACAGTTGTCAAAAATTAGCAGAACATACAACGTGATCTAATTTGTGGACACAAGCGAGGGCCATGATGCAGAAGAAGTAAATTCAAATAGATTGAAGACTGAGCAGACAGCTCATATGTGAGCTAACAGAAATTAAGTTTTAATTCAGAGAACAAGCATAGTTTCTTAGGTTATAGTCAAGTTCAACAAAAATGCGTTTCTACTTCTCAATAGATTGATCATATTGTCTAAGTTAATAAGACAAGAATCTCCAGTTGGAAGTGAAAGACGGCCAGATGCGTCAGTTCAGATTCTCCGAAGCAGACATAAGAGCTAACTTTTACTCAAGTATTAAATAATATATAGACTTCTAATCGACACCATTGTCTTAGTGCGAATATGATTCAGCGACTAGAAATGTTAACATAGTAGCAAGGGAGCTCTTAACTTCAATAATGATATTTTATATCAACTACCACAAGATTTAATTTCAATATAGATCATCCCAAGTTAACATATCTCTTATGCTAATACAAGAATATTTGATATCATTAATCTAAAAACTTTGCTACTTAGAAAAGTTTAAAAGATCTTTTTAAAAACTTCCAGACTTGTTAGCTACCAAATGACACCAAATTATTGGCCACAAATCAAGCAAAGGGCACTTGAAAAGCCAATAAATAAATACATGGCTACACACGCTGATTAGCATGCAAAGCAGCCAGCGCGCACACACACACACATGAAAGGGACTCAGTGAACCATGCAAAATGCTATTCAATCTATTGAATGCAAATAAAAAAAAAAAGGTGGGAACAAATTGAAAAGGTGTTGCCTACACGTGTTCTTGTCTATCAGAAAGTCAGTCGGGGCAGTCAAAGGGCTGCGTGGCTGTTAAATGAAGCGTGCAAATAGAAAGAGAGAGAGAGAGAGAGAGACAGTGAGAGCGAGAGCCAGTGAGTGACAGAGGCGAAGCCTGTTCATTGGAGCCTGCATTTAATTAAAATTATATATATTAGACGATCTTCTTAACTTCTAAACTAGCCTCAAGCTAATATCTTAGCAACAAACTGTAAAAGTGTTTAATACGAAATTTCAGCTTCGCTGAGCGTGTCGCAGCCACCCAACCACCGCCGTTGCCGCCTCCCACACTCAAATGCAATCGGGCATCTTTTGTGCTCTTCGCAGTTGAGTGGCTACGCAAAAGCGTAAACCCAAAAATGTCATACAGAAAAGTTGAGTCGCCTCTCTCTCTCTCTCTCTCTCTGCCTCACTCTTGCTTTGTTCTTGTTTTTTTTTTTTATTCTTTTGCACAATGAGTGACAACGAAAACAACAGCGGGTGGTGCATAACCACTGAGCCATGCCCGCACCAAGAGTCCTTTACCCTGCCTGTGTGCTTTGCCTGCGGCTTTAATTTGTATGGAGCGTGAAGTTTGCCGCAACTTTCAACGCTTTTTGACACACCTCTCCTCCCGCTCTCGCAGAGATCTCATCGCATTTTAAATTGAATCGCCAGCGGCATTGTTTTGCCTTCTATACAATCATATTCCATTAAAATGAAAGAGCCTGACGCCTGCCGCATTGCTCATATCACAGTCTCTCTCTCTCGGTCTCTGTCGCTTTGGCTCTCCCAGCTTCCCTCTCCTTCGTAGCCTTTGGCTCTGATTCGCTTTGATGACAGAACTATGATAATGTTTGTGTGCTGCGTCTGAGTTGATGCCTTTGATTGTAAAAACTGACAAGTGTTGTGGGTAACACAATATTAACTGACAACTGGTTGACTTTACGCCTGGCTGCCTTGCCCCAGGCAACCTAATGAGATTTGCTATAGCTATTACAGACAGTCTACAGACACTGTTAGCTTGATCGCTTTGAAACGAAGCTTACATCTTCATAAGCGAGTCTAAAACATAGGCCAATTTGAAAATTAATATTGATAGTAATACATAAGCAATACTAATAGCAATACTAGTATCAATATTAATACTCATACAAATAATTATACTTATACCAATACTGATACTTATGCTAATACTAATGCTAGTGTTAGTAATAATACTAACCAGTACTAATACCAATACTAATACTAATACTAATATCAATACTAATAATAATAATACTAATACTAATAATACCAATACTGATATCAATGCTAATATCAATAGTAATAATATAATAAATATAATAATAATAATAATAGTAATACTTCTACTAATACTTCTATTAATGTTTCGACTAATTCTTATACTAATGTTAGCACTAATAAAAATACTAATATTAATACTAATGCTATTCCCCATACATGCACTAAGACTTTACCTCTGTGACTCAAAAAATCGCTTATAATATTAATCGATTCGATTTGGTTTAGAGGATATAAGTATATAGTCACATATGAACATAACTAGTTAGTTGTATAAAAGATTAAAAAAAGACTTAGAGACGAAGACTTAGAATATTTTAATTATCCATCTTGAATCTATATAGAAATGGACATTAAATATGTTGAGAAAGTTGCTTTATATATGCATACAGATGTCATTCAGAGAAAGACATGCTACATAGCCTAGCTCTAGCTAAAAGATGTTTTCTCATTCATTTATAACTTTATTGCTAACTCTACTCTTTAAACTCTGTATTTATTTTCATTTATTTGCCAGTTTGAGTTTCAATTCTCATTATCTAAGACTCAGCTCTAATATTATTCAAATCGATTTGGAATATTTGCAGGCTACAGCTCGAATGCCTTGAGTATTAAACATGATCCGCACTCACAACTACGGCAACCTGGTGAGTAAATAAAAGAAATAAAAATATGTGTATGTAGCTGGAAAGGCTTTGAGTAGCTGACGCATTAAAGGCACATTAAGAGTAGGTGCTTGAGCTCACGTGCCGCATTGTTTAGCCCAAATTCAAATATAAACAGTGCCTGTCGGCTGTTTACCAACACTAATAAAGTTTTGCAATTGAAACGGTGCGCACGCTGCCAAAGCCACTCGAGATTCGGGCACTCGATGCTTTTTTCATTCCAAATGTATTGAAACAAATACCTCCACTCAATGCCGTCCACTCCAGAGTCCTTTTACACTTACCCTCACGCTCAGTGCGCGCTGCTGCTTTAAAGTGTAGTAAAAAAAGAAACCCTTGGAAAATACTGTCGCAAATCAAAACCTTAAATACGCCACTCGAAGTGGAAATGGAAACAAAAGTATTCGCATTCGCATTCGCATTCGAAGCGTAATGGAAACAATTGAAATGCCATAAAGGATTCTCAATTAGAGCGCAGCCCCAGACGCACTCCAACAAGGCTGCCGAGAACTTGGCTTGCTTTTCTGGTTTTCTGTTTCTGTTTCTGTTTCTATTTCAGTTTTTTTTTATTATATTATATTTTTTTCTGCTGTCAAATTTGACGGCCGTGCCTGAAAAGGACGCGTGCCAGCCCGACTTACTGCCGACGGTCCTGTTTATGCGCATTAAATTGTGCACAGAGAACAAAAGACGGCACCAAACAATGCACACGAGCACATATATGTTATATGCATGTATATATGTCTGCTTTTGCAGAATTGTGTTGTGGCTGCATCGAAGATGTTCGCTAAGTTTTGCTGCCATAACCTCTAGCTCTTGGCTTTAGGCAGCGCTTAAAAGTATGCAACGTTTTTTTAGCTTTGCTCTCAACCAGGAAACGCGCGCCGGATAATAAGTGAAATGGATATGCCAAGTCTATATGCATTATATATACATATAAAACACACACACATACACTCGCGCATACATACATAATGCAGTTTTGGTAATGCATTTCATTTCATCAGCGGAAACGCAACTTGCCCACGTACACATTTCTTTTTCCTACTGCATTTTTATGTGTAATGTATTCCGTTTTGGCAGGTCCTTCATTAAAGGTCCTTCATTTGCATAAAACACACACACATAAGAGCCTAAAAAACTAATGGCTTGCCACCCTCTATTACAGATCCATATCAAATGTTCGGACCCACCAGCAGCCGACTCGCCAGCTCAGGTGAGTTTGAATAATCACAAAAGCATAAAGATACAGGTGCTTAGATTAAGTTGAATAACGTATAAAGCGTTAAGGGGTTCTCTCTATCGCCATCTCTGTCTCTCTCTGTCTGCATTATCATATCAATTTCTGGCCGAGATTCGGCGCACCCTAACAAATTAACCCGTTGCATGCAAAGCAAAAAGTCTGAAAGAGCTCAACCCTGCGGGCTTTTACACTTTTCTAATTTATGCGAAAGGTGTTATAAACTTCTACTTTTTGTTTTTTTTTCTTTTCCATTTTCATTTTCGGAATACATTTATTATTCGCATGCGTGTGTCTAAGCGCTGCAGTGGGCGTGGCCAGGCAATTATTTTTCGTTATTTGACTTGAATTGCATTTGTCTGCAGCACGCGCCCAAAGCCTGACTTTACAAAAACTATATACATTTCTATATGTGTGTGTAGTCGTACATATAAAGTAGTCTCTAGTTGTAAAAAGGGTTTAACAAAGGGTTAAAAAGTAGGTGTGCATCTATCACTTATGATTAATGGCTAAAGTCAAACTGAGAAATATGTTCGGAGAGCTAAAAAAAATCAGTTAAAAATGTCAAATGATAAGGAAGACGAGGCCTTGAAAAATATGAATAAATTAAATTAAAATATATTATATATGTATGTAAGTATATGTGTATATGAGTATATGAGTTAAGCAAAGTATATGAGTTAAGCTTCATACTTACTTACTTACTATATAGAGACATTTCAAGGTACTAGACTTATTTGGAGCCTAAGCTCGATAATTTTTTCATTGAATATATTTGGGTAAAACTAAATTTTCATAATTTTATTGTATAAATTAGCTTAAGCTGAGGATAAATTAAAAAATGTAAGAAATTTTAGTTATTTCTTAGTTTTATATATAAAAAAAATATAATTTAATAGTTAAATTTCTTAAAGTAAGTCTAACAATTGCTTAGGTGCGGCAGCTAGATCTTGTATTCCTGCCTGCATCGCTCGCTTTAGTACAGTTTTGCATAGTTATGCATTGCTATTACACACTTTTATGTCTTGTTCAAAAGTTTTTAAAGTTTAATTGAAATTTTGCCCTGCTGCAACGGAAAGTTTGAAATAAAATCAATAATTTTTATTGATCCTGCGGCTGCATGAGCTTTGTCGCCATTGTTGACCACTGCTCTGTCTGTGTGTGTGTGTTGCTGTGTGGTTTGGCACCCCTCTAAATAGTCGCCCCCATTATGCCCCCACGCCACGCCACGCCCCCGCCCTAAGCAAGCGGCGCACAAACATGGCGTTTGAACGGAATTAGCATAAAAAGTCAGACGCCCAACATTTTCCGGCGCGACATTTACACGCGCCGAACGCCATTGCTCCCCACGCTAGCTGCCTCTCTTTTACACTTGCTATACCTTTTTCCCTCACTCTTGCTCTCTTTAGCTGTCCCTTTCTCGCCCAGTCTGTGTGCTGTGTTTCTTGTTTAGGCTTAGGCCGTTGCCAAGTTGACTTTAACTTCAAGTTAATCGCAAAAGCTCACTGAGAAAAACACATACACATGACCCGCACACACACATAGATACACACACACACACATACACACACACATGTACACACGTGTACCCACATGGCCGTGCGCTTTCGCTTTTTGGGTGGCAAAAATGCTGTTTTTGATTAATTATGGCTTCCTTTGGACACGGAACCGCTTTGTTAGCCAAGTCCGGTCTCAACTGCACAGCTCGCGCTCCTCGTGCCTCGTACCTCGCGCCTTATTTGCATGCAGACACAGCTGCAGCCGGTGCATGCAACCAAAACAGCATGAATAAAAAAAAGTACTAAAAAACAACACTAAACCCTAAAACTAGCTCTAGTCGTGACATAATTGCCAGCCACAGCACAAAAACTTGTTTGTAATTAAAAACAGGCAAAAGAGAAGGAACACAAGCGCAGGGAGCCGCAGCCTCTGTCGGCATATCAAAGCAACATTTCCACAGCTCCCTGCAGCTAATTACTTTGCCTTTCCCACTTCTTCTGCTGCCGCTTCTTCTTCTGCTATTTCTTTTGCCAAGCACACATATTAAATTAGCATTTCTTAGAGTCGACGGCGCCAACGTCAACGCCTTTGTGACCAAATTGCCTGCAAATTGGTCAGCAGAGGTGATGACAGCAGCTGCTTGGGGCGTGTGCAACTGGAAGATACCTCTTAGTTTGGGCAGAGATAAAGAATAATTTCGAGGATATATTCGAATAAAAAAATGTATTAAGATACTTAACTTAAATTAAGACAAAGAAAATAGAACGAGTTGTAAGTCGAGCCGAAGCATCTTTGACTTTAAATTTAATTGGGTTGAAGAGGGAAACAAACTTTGCAGCTTGTTCCTAGGAATAAGGAACACACAGCTCAAACTAATTTATTTAGTTAAGAATATTATAATATAATAATATATAATATACAGAAATATAACGCTTCTTGTATATGAAAATATTTATTATTTTAAATATTTTTCAAAAGCGCATATGAATTGTTTCATAAAAAATTATAAAATATAAAAAAAGGTAGATTTTTTTTTGATATAGCATATACCAAATATAAGTCACTATATGTCTAGAATATGTTAAACTAAACGAGGGTTGCTTTCAAAATAGTGCGCGCCGCAATGTAAGCATAGCAAAATTTAATCTTAGGCGAAAAATTTTTCTTGGATTAAGTTCGTCTTGCATTATGTCACTAATTGTCGAGAGAGATAATTGAGACAATTGTAAAAAAAGATTCTTGTGCAAAGAATTGTTAAAGAGATTTAGCCGCAGTAGATCATCATCTCTCCGCGGCTGAATTTCTTCAAAATTTCAGCTTCGACTCTTGCAGCAATTAGCACCCAATTGTTCATGGAATATAGTATATATGCTAGCGCCACTAATGCCCAAAGATATCTCTTAGTTGAAACCATTTAAGTTTAATCTATTGCTTACTTATAAAAGGCACAGATGGATAAAGCCTTCAGCTGTACTGGCCTAGAGTTCAAGCTTACATCTATTAGCCGTCATTAGGCTTGCCAGCTGGAATAGCTTGGCCCATTGTTTTTGACTTAATGGCGTGTCAATTGCTTGGCACGCCCACATAGCTGACTGAGTTATCACTCATTCATGTCATCATCAACATCATCATCACCATCATCATCATCATGTTGACACTTAACACATTCTCTTGACCATGATTTGCAATTAACGCAATATTCATGACGTTTCTCACACATGAACAAACAGAACTCAGAACTCAGAGCTCAGAGCTCGGGTCTCAGCCACCGCCCGAAGGGTGAAACTCAACTTCTAGCTTCCCAGGGCTGTCAGGGTTTTTCAACCCCCAGCGAGCAGTCTTTGTGTGTGTCCTTTTTTACGAAAGAAGGAGAGACAAAGACAGAGACAGAGAGAGTAAGAGGGAGAGGAAGAGACATTGTTCTGGGGCTGGGCCTAATTGCCAAATGATTAAGCGATTTATGATGTCTGCGTTGAATGCGTGCCGAATCCTTTGCACAATACGAAAATCATAATTTCGTAAATGTTTTAGCACGCACAACAAAAGAAAAATCAAAGTGTGCTCATAAATATATATATAGAGAGAGATTGTATAATCACCGCGACGACATTTGGTTTCTGATTTGTGCTGCTAAAAAGTCAAAGGTCAACTGAAGATGTCTGAGCACACATGCGACTTAAATAAACCCATAATGTGTATCTATTTCATATTAAAACTAGATTTGACTGTATCCTTGCAATAATATTTAGCAATTAATTTAACATGAAGGTATATATTTAATGACTGATTAATAGGAGTTGCTCTTAGCTTGATTTGCTTATTGCCTGCTAATTTTTACATCATTTCTAATCAATAACTTAGCATTGAGCTTAACTAGTCGTCTGCCTGGTAAAGACTACTTATCTTCCTGTTAAATATTTTACAAGCAGTTCAAGGAGCAGTGATAGTTGCTTAAGTAAAACGGCTTATGATGGTCATTCTATTTCTATTAAATTGTCGTATCATCCTCACTTACATTTAAATTAAACTGAAAAACATTTTAAAGGAAAAATCTCCTATGGTATATTTCAATATTTCTGCTGTAAGAATATCTGATAATCATTCTGATTGTCCGCAAGTTCAATTATCTTAGATGAAAATGTTTTCTTAATACTTAAAAATACTTTATATTGAATTACTATTTATTCTGGATTACAAACAACTTAAATTTTGCCAACTTTATATGAATTTCTCTTAGTCAAGAAATATTTTTGTGTCTAAGAATATAAGGCATACGATATTCGACAACTCAGATGAGGTTGTGATATCATTAACTATATATTATATAAAAGAACTTTCATTTGAAAGCTTTGAAGCTTTTTCCGCTGTAGAACTCTTTTATATATTAAACTATATATTTTTCATGCTCACACATATGTATATTCATTTATGATAAGTCTGCTTTCCGCTCCAGTCTTCTTTCATATTTACTACTAGCTATCATATATAGCAAATTGTAAGTGCTTTACATTTGCACTTACATGCCATACCATTTCCTTCGACTTGTCTTGCCTTAATCGTAAATCTAAAATAGTAGAAACTTTTCGACTGCGCTCAAGCTCTCTGGCATTACATAAATTTGGAGCAGGATAGCCTCTTGGCAAGAGCACAGATGCCCCTCTGGGACTTGGTCAAGTGGTTGTCGGGAGTTGAGCAGCGTGTCGGAAATACTTTATGGCACTTTTGCATGCCACAAAATGCTTAGCTTTCGGGTCAGTCAATGTTATATAATTCCATGCCTGCCTGCTTGCCAGCAGTAGTGGCAAAGGATATGCCTTTTTGACGGACATTTAGGCAGCCAAAATACTGGCATTAAAGAGCTTTTGTATTTCTATTACAAACATATTCCTTACATTTCTATATATTTGCTTTGCAGGCTCGGGACAGATACAATTATGGCAGTTCCTGCTCGAGCTGCTGTCGGACAGCAACAATGCCAGCTGCATCACCTGGGAGGGCACCAACGGCGAGTTCAAGCTAACCGATCCCGACGAGGTGGCCCGCCGCTGGGGCGAACGCAAATCGAAGCCCAACATGAACTACGACAAGCTGAGTCGCGCCTTGAGGTAAGTTTCTCCCTAGAATTGGGGGTTGTTTTTCTATTCCTTTTTTATCTATATTGTTTCGTGCGCTCGAGTGCTGCTAATTAGTCCAAGTACTCGCAATCTGCAAGTATCTGCCCAAAAATGTGGGCATGTGTCCAATTTGTGCCCAAAATCTGAGTCTCATCATTGTCGATTGATTCGATTCGAGGCTGATTAGCTGCTCTGATAA